TCAACGCGCTAATGACACCCTCAAAAAGGACCCTTGGGGGTTGACTCTTCACTTCCTTCACGTGACCACGCTGCAGCAAGCTATGACAACGTGATAACCACCATTTTTCATTGGTCACGTTTGCTCCAGCAGACTATTACTCGGCAGCTGCTCGCAACTCCAAGGCCTTGGCGCACAAGTTCAAAGCTTTATATTTGATGGCATTGCTGTTCCATTCCTTGTTCAGAAAAATTTCTTGATGCGAACCGCGCGGAAGTGCGTCACCGTCCTGAATGCGGAGATGGTCGATCGTTGCACCCGGTGGCTTCTCGTTTTTGAAAATGCAAATGACACTGGTTAGTAATAACGAGCCTGTAATTAATTATCTGTAGCGCGCTGTAGAAAACGATGTGTAGTGTTATGACTGACAGGCTCCAGGAACACATTGCAGGAAAAAAAAACGACGCAAAATTTTGGTGTCCGTACTCCTTTAAGGCCAACATAATAGTAACTTTTTAGAGGAGAGAGAGTAAAGGCCCAGAGAAGCAGAGATTTAATGAAAAGTAGACCCGGGCAGCTACGCTGCAAAAGCGGGCTGTGGAGACAAACAAAGAAAAATCGCGGAGGGGTACGTAAAGGGAGAGACGAACATAAATCAACGGCGTACACTGAACAGCGGTCGCAAGAGGTGCTGTTAAAGATGTCGAGTAAAAGACCCGAGGTCTGGGAGTCGTGAGTAGTGCGGATAAAGTTGACACGTTTTTTTTTTTTTACAAGACCGGAAGAGACACGGAACGGGTGGTATACTGTCAGGTACATTCCTTCTAGGCTTCGCCAGGCTGTATTGACATTCGGTGGTACACCACATGAGCTTCTCGTTCTTGTTGCTTTGTGCTGTAATGTTCCCGAATTCTATGAACCATCTAACCGAATGTCAAGTTTTTGCAAAACGTTTTTTATAGACTCTATTTCCAGGATGGTTGAAGCTCGACTAGAGGCTGCAAATATCGCGCACTTCACTGTCTGAGCTCACTCTAACGAAGTCTGCGAGTAGGTATGACACTGAATGAGAGTACGTCAAGTTATATGCTACAGCTTAGACAGTCTATGCTGCGCTTTTTATCTCGCTCAGCGAATAAACTACCGCGCGATTCGACGCGTTGCGTTCCCTTCACAGGGGAGGTCATATGCCAGGCCCAAAGCCCTGGCGCCCGTGGCCCAAGAAGAAGGCCGGCAGAGCGCGAAATTATTTCGTTTCTGCAAGCTTGAAGAAGGTGCCGGTTTTTATAGCGTGACCTGTGAATTCCCTGGTAATAACGCACCGCTCTCGTGTTCTTTAAGAGGCGTCGTGAAGCCTAAACAGCGAGAGCGCGCCGTAGACCGCGCGAAACTTCAAATAAGGCTGATTTCGGAAAGAACATGTCGATACCACGTCCTGTTACTCTGGTGCCACGATCATCACTGTCGTCCATGCATGACCTCACCATGAAGAAACCCCCTCACGATTGAGGTGAGTAAACACATAGGTGGCGACGTTATCTGGGGAGGAGGAGGAGGAGGAATAAATGAGGAAGGACAGGGAGGTTAGCCAGTTCTCAGACCGGCTGGGGACTTCCTTTTGTGCACAATGTGCCTACTGGCAGGCGGATGCAGCGACTATCCAGAGAAAAGACTAGAAAGCTTTACGTCATTTTAAACGACACAGCAAAGGCTTACGGCACGCGGGCTCGACTGCAAATGTGAATGGTTATTGCGGAAAAGGCACGATGCATAAGTATAGAGTTCTGTACGCACAGGCGCGCCGCTGTGCCTTTGATAAGACGGCTAAGTGCAAGTGCAGCGTCCGTCGGCAAATCATGCAACAAGATAGATCGCATACACTGCTCGTGTGTTTTTTTCTAAAAGGTATAGTGTAGCAAATGATATTTGTAGCCAATGGAACGTCTAAGCTGGTGCGCCTCCGTGACACTACTAATACAATACTGACCTGGTTATCATTGTAAGATAGGCACTCAACTATATAAAATAAGTCATGTCCCAGTTTTCCCTGAGGGGAGCCCGCGGGCTGCTTCAACGTCGGGACGCGCAGGCCAAGCCTGGACTGCCGGGAGTTGTGCGAACCAGTCGTGGTTATTCAGCAGTAAATAAAGGGCAATCTATCGGCGCATAACCGCCAATATATTAATGTGGACACTTATCAGAGTAGCCTAGGAGTTATTCGCTTGCCCAGGTGCACTATATATATCATTATGTATCTAATCTCGACCATGGCCGCACAGCTTCCAGAGTTTGCACTAACATATTCCTGTCATTTTTATTGAAACTTCTTTAAAAGAGACACCAGTCAATGCAAGTGCCATAACAGGCAGTTCGCTTCATGGGCCAATGAGATGTTAAACTACGGTTCTACAATTAGTGATCTCTTCCTGGCAAGATCTTGCTTTCCATGGCTGAGAAAGAGGTACGGAGCATAGCAATTTCAGATCGGGAGTATTCTTAGAGGAAAATGTAGATAAACATGGCAGCTAGTACTTGCGCATTCATCTTGCGATCACAGCCAGAAACTCTACCGTGCAGATGCGGCTCCTACGATGGTGATACACTGCAGCACGTGAGCAGTCATTAAATGTGAGCTGGCTTATCACTTGACGATGACGTGCGACTTCTGCGCAGGAGGTCGCGTCGCGAAACAACCCGCATAGACGATAATCCGAAGGCGTGACATGAAAGCACTGCCTTGCATTGAGCTTCGCAAGGAAGAGAGCTTGCCTCGCAGCACGGCTTGCCAAATCATTCAAGACCAGTGCGCCTTGAACTTCCACCCTGCCTATCGGAGTCTAAGCGAGACTCCGTGGATACGAGTGCATGGGGCAGGTTCTGGACAGAAGCTGTGTATGCCAACGAGTCTTCGCTCCACGCTCGCGCGATCAGAATATTAACGGCGTCTCGAACGAGATATCTTCCTTTACCGCTCCCCAACTGGCAACATGCATGGGGCTGCTGCTTCCACTGGCACTAGGCCGAACCGTCAGAATACTCACCAATTTCTTTTTTTTGCGGTTCACCACAAAAAACGTCTACGCGAAGGAGATGGTTAGAGCAGCTAGAGTCCGCACTTCCGCTTTCAATTCAGGTCATCGTTACATGGGCGAAGTACTGTTCAAAAGTATTAAAAGGAAACAATATGTTGTGATAATGAAGTGTAACTATCTATCCCTGAATTTCCTTCTCCTTGGAGACCCGCTTTTATACTTTTATACTACAAACACGAGGTAAAACGGTGTTATTTGCACACGACATGCACGAATTGGCCGAAACTATACCATTCGCATAAATGTGGAGGCGATCTCGGCGCCTGATGGCCTTCCAATACATATAGGGGCATAAGATAAAAAGCCGATTACTATTACGAACAGTAAAACGCTGTTCGCCGTACTGTGCACTGTTTGCTGAAGGCTAGCGCTTTGGTTCTTCTTATTAGTAAACGAATTTATTCATTAGTCAAACATCATTTCTGCTTGCAAATGTTCGCAGGATATGGTGCATGCGGGACACGTTTTAATCAATAATTGAAGAATACGAACAGAAGAGTGAGACTTATTGGTTTATTTATTTTGAAGTAGTTAGGGCTATGGAGTTGAAAGGGCACACAAGGAATGAGATATTGTTGCACGACATTGCCCCATTTGCGACAACACAGCTTGCTACGGTAACTATTGTGTTGAGAGGCATTAAATGGGACGCAGTGTTTTAGGGGCGGAGCTCTTTAAGGTGGGGCTCATGCGTCTCCTGCATGTAGTAGCCGTTTTAGTCCTTGGAATGTCCGCTGGATAGCGGTACTTGTATATGATGAATATATGATGAAAAGATTCGAGATGGCGGTACTTCGAGTGTTCACTAGATGGATGGATGGACGTACAGACAGATGGACAGACATACAAACAGACGAGCATGCAGAGCGACGAACGGACGGACAGACAGATAGACGCATGGACGGACGGACAGATGGATCTTCACAGTTTGCCGATAAAACCCTTCGAAGCTTCACCGCACTCATCATCATTTACTGCGGGGATATGGTGTGAGTTTTCTATCTTTGGATAACTCTATTAGACTATTACGGACAGCACTATTACGGCCAACACGAAATCTTTTGCGGCAGTGATGGTCACGTGGGCGGGCGCATGGGGGCTGCGCTCAGCCACGCACTTTTTCCCTAAACACACGCAGCAAAAAAGCGACATAGTTTGTGCTTCCATGTCCGACTTTACCTGATGGTAAATCATTTAAAATTAAGTTATTGTATCTTACACTTCTTCCAGAGGCGAAGAAAAAGGAAAACATATAAGTCCAACTTCAACAAGAAAAAAAAAAGGCGAAAGTGCCGAAAGGAAAGTTGCACAAGCTAGAGGGTGCCAACTGAAAGACAGACTGCGACTAAACGATTCTCTTGCTAAGTTGTGCGTGTATTACATATTTTCAAACTGGTAATTAACACCTCAAATTATAATTAACTAGCTAGTGCTCCTAGGAATGAAGCAATGCCGAAATCATGAAGAAAATTCTCTTTATACTCGACCAATCACCTATATTGAGTATGTGTCATGCCCAGAGGAAAAGAGCAAGACTGTTAGCTAAATATTTGACCAATGCAAAACGCAAACAAACGATCAAATTTTATAATTTTGCACGCAGTTCCTTGCTACCTCTCGTATAATCGAGATAAAATAGAGCAGACCTGTGGGTTGCCGAAACGAATGAATAGAATGTACGTTAGCGCCTTGCTCTCGCTCTTGATCCCACTTAGGACTCGCAGAATCTCCGCCTTCCTTTCGCTTCCCAAGGTCTTAACTAAAACTGTCACCAATAGATCCTGTTTTATAGCTTGCGGTGCCACTAAACTATCTACATCACTATCTCCTATGGCTAATATCATAGACAGGTAATACTGCCGTTGTTGTTGATTGTTGATTTTCCCTGTTGTTCCAGTGTTTGCCGTTTTTTTTCCTCACGCTTCTTACCTTTCTTTCTTTATGTCGTCATCCTTGGCGAACTGTCGCTGTCCTGAACGGTGCACCTGCAAGGATAAGAAGAAGACAAATTAAATGACCAGGACGCGATACATACACGCACAGCATGGTTTCAAACTTCTCCTGTGCGTCCGCCTATTTCTCGTGCACCTTGATTTTGCTCACTTTAAGTAATACGACAATTCACGCACTTCTACATTGTGTAGCCCTTCTGCTCTACTCTGCCATAGCGTTGACATTGTGAAGATATCCTGATTGCAAAGTAATACTACAGTGTTACCATGCAGAACACACCATTTGCCCGAGCTAAGGTGGAAAATAAAACTGTGGATGATTTTTCTTTTACCTTTCTCATCATTCACCACACCGAGCGACTCTAGCTAGCGACAGCTCGGGCGAGGCATCTGAGCCACGACTAAGCGACATGCCTAAATAACCAACTGCCGTAAAAGCTGTCGAAAATGAGCTTCCCGATTTGCGCTCCTAAGCGGTCACAAAACTCTGTGACCATCATTTTGTCTCTCCTCCAGGCACACGCAAAACACTTAGTGTGGATTTCGTATCTATACATGAAAACGCTACTGTACTATCTGAATGTTTTTGCACGGAGAGGGACGATGGAAAGGCGCTCTGTCAGTAGCCTTGTGCTACACAGATACCCATGCGCGCTTGTTTCAACAGATAGACGTCGAAAAGGCAAACACACTTTACGCAAGCTACACCACGCCTATATCTTTCCACAAATTGACCACCTGCTGGCGTATTCTCAGAAGGTCGGCCCAGTTATGATCAGCGAGATTATAGAACTCTCCACTGTTGCAGCTGACCTCTTTGATGCAGTTTTCATAGATGGGAAACGAAACTCGATGGTTCTTCGGAACAACAAGCAAAGGTCTCTATACAGTTTCGCAAAGTGATGTATGTCTCGTTTCTTTGTATACTCGCTAAATATGGACCTTTGTGCGAGTTAAGTTGTACTTAGAACACCTTTCTTCATTCTTGGTGTAGATTTCCATGACTTTGGAAAGAATAAGTGACTCTCAGAGGTAGACGATGTAGACGCCTGTTACCTGAGGCCCGTTACCCCAAATCAACAATTACGTTCGCCGATTCATCAATTAGAGCTCAATCGAATGTGAATCTTCGTTACTGCACTCACCAAATCGCCTTCGACCGGAAGGTGGATGCGCATTGCAAAACATGTAACATGCGCGGCTTTCCCTCTTCCGAACAACTTGTGGCTTAAAAAAGTGGGAAATAGAAATCACCGCTAACCTCATAAAAGAAGGGCCAGAACCTTTTAAAGTTATTGTTACGGCCTTTCACGCCAGATTAGCGAATGCGGGCACCCGAATAATAAATACTGATTACATATATATTTCACCAGAAGGGTTACTTAGACCTTATAGATTACTTCTCTGACTGCATTCAGCGACTACTAGTAAGAGTGATATCCCCCACAAGACTGTTCAACTCTAAAAGTGTTCAATGACTCCATGGATCAACTCGAGCCTTTAACAAATCATTCCTGCCTCCAGCAATTGAACACTGAGACAGTCTTTAGGAACTTGTTGTTCAGGAGCGCGACCCAGTCAAATTCAAAGTGTTGTGGTCTTCTGGTTTTTGCTAACTCTCCCGCGTCCAACTCGCCAATAAGCTTCTTCTCAACAATGAAGTTGTTTGTTTCTTTTTTTAAGGCGTACTTGGTGTTCGCGTCCAATTACCTCCCAGGTGTATCAGTTTTTACACTATTCATATTTACCCTGTTTTTTGTGTTTATTTGCTGTATAGTTACTTTGATTTTTCACTTACTATTCAAACCCTGCGTTTCTGCCATTACATCTCCCCAATACTCTCCCCTCATATGTAATACTTTGTAGAAGTCTTTAAGGGCTTATAAATGAGCACGATGATGATGCGATAAATTGAATCGACGTTCAAGTTATTACGAACAAGCGTTCCTCGCTAAATATTGGACTCTTCCAACTGCAGCATCAATGCACATTGTGACCGAAATTGGAGGACTGTGGTCGACAGAGGAGGGGAGGTGGCGTGATGCTTCTTTTACCGGTTAGCCACAGCTGGACAACAATTGAAACTGCCCCGAACAGGCGATGAGCCTTTTTAATCATGATGCTTCAATGCAAGCGCCTTTTCCTTGGCGCAACAGTTGCGAAACGTCTTTTCATCTGGGAGGCATTGCTTCTGGCAATCACGGTTGACCAAAACTCTATTAAGCCGTTACAGGGGCAGCACAGTAAAATGAAAAACGTCGATTATGCGTAAGTGGCCAATCCTATTTACAAAACTAATAAGTGATAATAACGCAGAATGATGTTCGCCCAATCTGACATTTCACCGGAAAGTATGTCCCTTGCACTGCCCTAATATTTTAAAGACGATAGTCTTTCTTGGGGACCTTCGACGCAAAAATTTTGGTCTGTCTGTATGGACATTTGCCTGCTTGTCTACCCTTAACGGTATACCCTAAACGGCACCAAAGTGACACAATGATACTCCAAACGTCCGAATCCATGCGCAGCGCCCACCAATATTACTCAAGGTTCAGCGTTCATACTTGTGCGATTGTATATTAAAAAGCAATTATTGCGCATATCTGAGGCACCATAAGAGCACGTCTATATTATTTATGTGTATTTTTTACTAGAAAAGGCATACATAAGTAATTTTAAGGATCGTAGCCTTTATAACGCTGCGCTGGCCATGCAATGCTTGCACGAAACGGCAAGTGTTTTCAACGCTTTGCTAAGACAACACGGTAGTGGCACCTACCCGTCGCATTGCGTTCTACACCTTATCACCTCAGAGACGGACGCGCACGGCGCGCCCCGTTTTCTAGGATAACTGCAAGATAGCGCTGATGCCTCACGTGTTACGTGACTTGATGCGCTCGTTCGCCTCCGCTGCACGTTCGATTGATTGATGATTGATTGATATGTGGGGTTTAACGTCCCAAAACCACCATATGATTACGAGAGACGCCGTAGTGGAGGGCTCCGGAAATTTCGACCACCTGGGGTTCTTTAATGTGCACTCAAATCTGAGCACACGGGCCTACAACATTTCCGCCTCCATCGTAAATGCAGCCGCCGCAGCCGGGATTCGAACCCGCAACCTGCGGGTCAGCAGCCGAGTACCTAAGCCACTAGACCACCGCGGCGGGGCTCCGCTGCACGCTCGAGGCACTCAGCGCATCCAAAATACCATTCACAGATTTTTCTTGCGCAGAACATCAAATAAACGTTTTGTTTACTCGCTTCAGACGCAAGACTATCGTCTTTCGACGACATTTGCGGTGTAACATGCATATACGGGGCGAACTTCTTTTGCTCTGGCTGCGTCAAGAACGCAGCCATTATTGCAAGAAAATGTCCCTGGAACTATGGCACACTGTCATTTCACATTCATGCTATCAAACATCTTCACTCAAACTGCCATAATTTGTTGAAATTGACACACGTGGAGCTCAGTTGTGATGCTGCGGTACCTAAGCATTTTCACAATGCAGGCAACTACCGCATACTTTGGCTAAACTTCCACGTACGTACAGAAATGCTTGCCAAATGCTATAAGGATTATAACCGTCAGCACTATTGAAATCAACAGGAGAACTTGCCTAAAGCAACGACACGCTCAAAAACGGCCCAGTATAGTATACCAAGAGAAAAGGCTGCCTGTCAAGTCGAAAAGTAACATTATATGACTCGCTTCCTCTCTCACAGTACAGTTACGCAAAGCTCATTGCATTTCAATCCGAAGCGGTATTAAGAGGAGTGTTTTGGGCAGTTGTTATGAGGAATTTATGTGCACGAGGTGCATATACTCCAAAAGCTGAACCCGTCCAAGTAGGCCTATTCCGGTCTGCCGGCATACGCACACTGAAATGAACACCCCGCCGCGGTGGTCTAGTGGCTAAGGTACTCGGCTGCTGACCCGCAGGTCGCGGGTTCAATTCCCGGCTGCGGCGGCTGCATTTCCGATGGAGGCGGAAATGTTGTAGGCCCGTGTACTCAGATTTGGGTGCACGTTAAAGAACCCCAGGTGGTCAAAATTTCCGGAGCCCTCCACTACGGCGTCTCTCATAATCAAATGGTGGTTTTGGGACGTTAAACCCCACAAATCAATCAAATCAATACGCACACTGAAGCAATATTGGGGCTCTATTTGCGAAAGCTTTATTCTACGAGGGTTTTTAATGTTGGCTTTGTTCTCTCATATATCTGGCGTCAAGATTTGCTATCCTTATGAACATTGCTTGCGTAAGAAGTATTTTTTGGGGTATCCTGAAACTGGCAATCACTCTGAGTATGAGCGCGTATTTGAGTCACTTAACGAAGGAATAAGCAGGAAAAGACGAAGACATCGCCCGTCCACACGTGTTTCTTTCGTTTCGTCCCGTAACTGTGCTGTTTTCTATTTTTTAATTCTTTTAAGAACCTGTACCAACTAGCCCGCCTTTCACCGCTTGTTCAGTACCTGAATTCTACAATGAAAGTTCTTGACGTTCAACTATGTTTTATCCTACACTGTTGAATGTTATGTACAATGTATTCGATATATGTTTTTTGTTCAGTACTTTTTGGAGAAGCTTTGGCGTTCTTTACCGCAAAAATAATCCTGTGCTTGATGTCCATTGCAAATGAAGCCGAGTTAAAAAATCGTACTTATGCTGACGAAAAACAAACAAATACAAATAAAAAAAACGTGATTCATCTCTTTGTCATGAAAATCGGTATGTAAAACGTGTCTTTTCAACGGAACGTTTACTGCATGTTGATATAAGAGAGCTGGCCAAATTTCTATTGGTGTTTGGCAGCCTTAGCGCCGTTCAACATGCACGCACCCACGTTGACGCTTGGTGGCACATTTTCATCCCGACGAGTTACGTCTGTGATCAATTTTTAAATTAACCTTTGCCGTAGCTGTAGTAGGTAACAGTGGGGGCGGAATCCGAGAAACGATGTGACAGCCAGAAAAGCGTCGCTGGTTGGACGCAGAAATAGGGCTAAGCTCACCATCTCACAGA